CGTCCCCCGCCTCAAGGGTTACTTCCCCGACCTCAAGGGTAACTTCCCCATCGTCGTTCTCGGCCACGACGTCGGACACGATCTGAATAACCTCAAGTCCAAGGCTATTGCTTTCGACATGGAGCCAATCGGTACCGTGGTCCGCTACATCGACACCCAGCTGCTGGTTCGTGACAAAGGTTACTGGATGATGCCGAGGAACGAGCAGGTTGGTCTCAGGCGCATGGTCGAAGAGCTCTCCTTCGAGCATCGTGATTCCCACACGGCGGCAAACGACGCCGCTCGCACCTTGATCTCCGCATTCCAAATCGTTCTGGGCGGACACAAGTGCAAGAAGTTCGCACACAAGAGTATGAAGCAAGTGGCCGAGGATCTGGAGCGCCATAGTGTGGCGAACTTCGATGATAGCCTCGGTGGCGTTGAGAAGTACTGCTTCAAGTGCGGCACTATTGGCCACATGAAGCCAGATTGCACCGCCACAGACCTTCGTTGTGATGAGTGCGAGGAGAACAAGTGCAATATCGAGCCAGGCAAGGAACACGTCACCGAGCATTGCATCTGTGTAGCCAACAAGAAGGCCCTCATCCGGCGCGAGAAGGACGCTATTGCTCGGGCCCTCAAGAAACCAAAGACCAAGAATCCGCCTCGTGGGGGGTTCTACTCCAACTGGGGTCGTTCCATGTCACGTCGTGGTTCCACTCGTCCATCTGGTCCTACCATGAACTATGACGGTCTCCGACAGTACTTCGACTCTGCTGGTGGACATGGCTCCGCCCCGCCAGGCCCGGGAGGACACCCTTCAGTCAGGGGTTTTGGCGGACATCTCGGCCAAGGCGGCTATGGCAACGTTTCGTTCGGTCGTGGTCGTGGTGGATACCCTCCACGTGGAGGGCACGGAGGATACAACCAAGGTTGAGATCGCAGAAGGACTGCACAGGTGTTTCGGCGTTAGATTGGCGGCGCTTTGAACAGGCCGGGAGGTGACTAGTTGCTTTTGGAAGTTCAGATGACGGCTGAAAACGCCTTGAAGATACCTTGGGTCTAGCATAGATGCAAACAATATAGGATGAATGTACACTCTGCCGAATACGGTGTTGGTTGCGAGAAGTGTGATGCGCGGCTGACTAAGCCAGAGCAGCAGGCAGCTGCGTCATCGGCGGGCTGTAAGCAGCAACCCTGCCGTGTAGCCGTCAACAACTTCGACCATGATAACGATAATCCCCCCGCCATGCCTTTCGATGGGGTGCGGTTGAATTCCTGATAGCTAATATCCTGTCGCACAGTCGCCATGATCGAAAACACGCTCCCCAAGTACCTGCTCATCAGGACGTGCATCCTCGGATTCCGCGCTATCACGCCCTTCAGCATCTTCTGGGTCTCCTTCAGCATCGCAGAGCCCCCGCACTCGGCCTTCCGTCGCTTCCTCCTCACGTGGAGCATCATCGAGACTGCCTTCTGGCTGCTTGTCTACCTGCCCCGCAAGCGCGCGCTTCAAGCCTCTGCGCAACACCCGCCGCCCCTCGAGAAGGAGGAGAGGAAGGAGCTTTTCTGGCGATGCTGGGATAAGATCCCTCACCCCGAGTACTACATCAGCAGGTGGTTTCTGGGCGCGAGACCGGGCGAGATACGACGCGAGAATGTGCGCGAGTTCTTCGCGTGGGCGCTGCTGAACCGCGGCACGGAGAGCGACGAGGAGCGGAGGAAGAGGCGGCAGGCGCACCCGGAAGAAACCAACGCTGAAGATGACGAACTGAACGAGTACGCGGATGGCATAGAGACGATGCTTGGGAGGAAGCTGGCGCCTGGTATGGGCAGCGCAAAGAGCTTGCGCCTGACTATCGACCAAGTCAACATGGCCCATCGGCCGTTTCTGTGGTATATGGTATGTCTGCTGGTCTCGACATTATATGTGATACTGACGGCGACAGATCGTGATGCTAGTCGATACCCTTACCGCCGCTCGTCTGCGCTACTACGGCTTCATGCTCTTCCGCACCCACCTTCGCTCCTCGCTGGCCATCTTCCCACCGCGGCTCGCCAATTTCACTACGCGCAACATCTCATCTGCGCCTGATCTGAGTTACTGGTACCGACCACACACCTCGAAGACGCGACTACCCATTCTCTTCATACACGGCATCGGCATCGGCCTGCACCCATACGTCGAGTTCTTGAACGAGATAAACAAGCACGATCCGCTTGCGGTACAAGATGGTCAGGTTGGTATTCTTGCTGTGGAAATCATGCCTGTCAGCTTCCGCATCACTGGGGCGATTCCAGACAAAGACGACATTTGTCGCCAGATCAACATGATCCTGGAACGCCATGCTTTCGACAAAGTCGTACTCGCAAGTCACTCTTACGGCTCCGTCATCTCTACTCACCTTCTTCGGGACCCCATCACCGCTGCCAAAATCGGCCCGATGGTCTTCATCGACCCTGTTACATTCCTGTTACATCTTCCCGACGTGGCGTACAATTTTACCGCGCGTCGACCGAAAGGCGCAAACGAGCACCAACTCTATTACTTCGCTTCTACCGATATGATGGTTGCGCAGACCCTGGCGCGCCAATTCTTCTGGGCACAGAACATACTGTGGAAGGAGGACCTCAAAGACCGGGACGTGACTGTCAGCCTCGGAGGCAGGGATTTGATAGTTGACACCGAGACCATCGGGAAGTACCTTAATGGTGCTGACCTCAAGGGCGAGGACAGGACCTGGAAGGACTCCGAGTGGAGAGGTCACGGTACAGAGACGATTTGGTGGCCTACTGCAGACCACGCACAGGTGTTTGAGAGGCAAGACGGTAGGACGAGATTGGTGCATGTCCTCAGAGAGTACGTGAAGCGTAGAGCGGAGGAGGAAGAGGTAGAAGAGTTTCCCGGGCAATAATTCATATCCTCGTACCTGCATCCAGGGTCTTGCCACTTTGTCGCACCATCCATGTACATCAACGTCAGCTTCATCGGAAGTTTAACGTACGTTTAGTTGATGCAGACTACGGGAAGCCGTAGTTCATTTTGCGGGGGTCCGTCCGGACGGGCCTGAAGCAACTGGCGAGCCGGCCCCGCCGATCCCGCCGATCCCGAAACGGTAGTATATACAACGCTTGTATGCGCGACGACGACATGCAAATAGTCAGCAGCCTACCTTCAAGATACTGTTACATATTACCTCGAACAAATTGTTTCTATCATGCCTAACGGAAACTGGATCCTGGGCGACCTCTTCACCAAGGAATACGGACATCGCGGCAGCATTCAGAAACTCTGGGAACAACGATGGAAATTTCCCTGCACCAAAGGCGTTTACCCTTTCCACGATGGCAAGTTTGAAGATTTCGAACCAATCTTCAAGCATCTCATCGACAACAACATCAACGATCCTTACGACGATGCATACACAAATGCATTTTTGCCAACCGCACAACGCCTGGCGAAAGAAGCCAAAGAAATGGAAGGCAAGGACAAAGAGGCAACGAGGCAACTATACCTAAACGCAAACGCCGTATACAGATTAGCACGATTCCCCTACATCGGCACCGAGCTCAAGAAGAAGGTCTTCGAAGAGCAAAAGGGAGTCTACTTCCGCGGCGCGCAACTATGGGACATCCCCCTCGAAGAAGTCGAAATACCCCACAAACAAGCCTCCAACGGTGACGGCCCCTCCATCCCCCTCTACATCCGCAAACCCACCGGCTCCGGCCCCTTCCCCACCGTCCTCCTCATCACCGGCCTAGACGGCCACCGCCCCGACAACACGGAACGCACACAAGAGCACCTAAACCGCGGCTGGGCAACCGTGATCTGCGACATACCCGGCACAACCGTCGACTGCCCCGCCAACAAGCGCGACCCGCTCTCGCCGGACCGGCTCTTCACCAGCATCCTAGACTGGATCCGCGAAACGCCTTATCTGAACGAAAAGAAGGTCATCGCCTGGGGTCTCTCAGCCGGCGGCTACTACGCCATCCGCCTCGCGCACACACACCGCACCCAACTCCTCGGCAGCGTCGGCCACGGCGCCGGAACCCACCACTACATCGGTTCGGAATGGCTCTCGCAGATTTCCAAACACGAATACCCGTTCGGTCTCGAGGAAGCGTATATCCAGAAATACGGCTATTCGTCCTTTGACGAGATGAAAGAGAAGTGCCAAGACGAGTTTTCGCTCGTGAGTGGGAAGGGAGAGGGTGTGGCTGTTGTAGGGCAGGGTATGAGCAGCTGTAGGTTGTTGCTTGTGAATGGCGTGTTGGATGGGTGTATGCCCGTGGAGGATAGTATGTTGCTGGCGGAGTATGGGAGTCCGAAGGAGATGCGGTTTATGCAGGGGAGGTTGCATATGGGATATCCGGAGGCGAATGGCACGGTTTATCCGTGGATGGAGGGGATTATGGGCGGTGTTTAGGTGGGATGATTGGTGGGTGGGAGCGGTATGTTGAGGATGGTCGATCTGGTTGATCAGAGTTTCCGACATATTGGAGCTTTGTCAACGGCACGCTATATATATCGAGACATGTGCAAAATTCCGCTACCCGCTTGCGTTCGGTTAAGACGAAAAAGGGCTGCAATTCAGGGCGCCTGGTACAGTGACAAGGATCTCTTAGTCTTCTGACGCTTGGTTTCAATCACCATCAGAATACATGCAGCTATCCTACGACCCTACTGCGTAAACTCTCGCATACAGCGCCACAATCTTTATAGCGCTAAGAGTACAAGAGTTGCCAACTAGGATACTAGTGTCCCTCACCCCTTCAGGTAGTAGAAAGGAACATGTTGCCCAGTCCCCCCATCGATCCGAGCAGGATCAAAGCAACCCTCAGGGACATCTCGCATTACTACTTCGTAAGTGTCTACATCTGCACCGTCCTCACTCCAGGGATCGCGACTAATGCCTACTTGCCAAGTCTGCCATTGTGGGTATTCGTCCAAAGCCTCATGCAAGAAGTTTCCGGTCGTGACACGGAGACCACGGAAATGCGTGTAAGACCGATGCTCGTCAGGATGTCCTGCAAACATGACGAAACGCCTTTGACGAAAACCGCAGGATCGTCCGCTTGGGCAGGAACCTTCCTTGATGCACGAGGTCGACAAGTAGTGCTTCTCCCGGTCCTGAGCACTCCAGTCGGAGATCTCCCAACCTTTGCGCCCACTGGGAAACTGTGGTAAGCAGATGGTCCGATGGAGGTCCACCGGACGACAGCTGCAATCCCACCTTCTGAAGCAGTCTGATATCTAAACCTTCTCTTTGTCCGGATCGATCAAGGTACAGCGTCAAGACGGCTCCCATGCAGGGAAGCCCTCGCAAACTGAGGTAGACTGAAAATGAAGTAGTGGCCGGTTTACCACCTAAAATGAGCTCTTGAGCGAGCGCAACGGTTGCTTCGGCATCTTCCTTCCCATCTCTGGTGTAATAATAGTGAATAGCAAGGGTTTCCAGAGACAAAAGGCGTTCCTCGAGTATCGCCTTCAATTTGGCAACGACAGTCTTGTCTACCTCAAGGACGCCCACTGCTTCGCACGCCCAGATCCAGTGCCTCGTTCTCAATCTCGCTAGCTCTTCTGGCTCTAGACGAATGCCCTCGCCCGAGGGCATAGATACAGCCTTCTGTTGGTCGTCCTGGATCCGAATGGCTCTAACGTATTCGGCTAGCCGCGCACTTCGAGAGACGCCGTCGAGCTTTTCGAGATCGGACGCCATCAGAGTGGTCTTGAGGGTAGTGAAGAAGCGCTTGCCGACTACGCGTAGAGTCTTCGCGTCTGCATGTCTACATGTCAAGCGAAAGGACAGAAGGTCTGTATCGTTCATATAGCCTGCGGCGGCCTCGACCAGCTCGGTGGGCATCTCATGAAAGGCGCGGTGAGACATGACTGTGAACGCTGAGACAGGTCGATGAGGTAACACAGGCGTGTAGAGATGCTGGAGCTTGTCGGCAAGCAGCGGTAGTGCGTCAAAGATGCAAGAGAACAAGACTGAACGCAAAGCGGGAGGTGTGCAAAAGTGATTGGGATGAAAGGTGTCACATCCAGAAGGTACATGCCAGATTTGAAGAAAAGCGCGTAGGCAGCGACGTAGGGATATTTGTTTGCTTCTCACGTCACCGCTTCAACGCTGTGCGACATCGCTAACCTTGCAAGGCAGGCACGCTGCACCTTTCCACCCAACAAGACAGGTATCGCAGCGACAAGACGACCTGACGAATTAGGCCACACATGTACTTTTGATCAACCCGAGATTTCTACGAAGACGATGATCTCTGCGATCAAAATCACCCCAAACCTGCATACCCTACACACCTCATATCATCAAATGACATCAATCAGGACACACGTTATAAATATCTTAATCTGATTTTCTCATATTTTCTATCTACGCCACGCACAGTCCCCCGTCTTATGCCTATAAGCATTCTCATTGCAATACCTCCTCGGATCCGTACTCTCAATACAAAACTCACACGGCACAGCATTAGGACTACTCGAGCGCTTCGACCCACCCTGTCCATAACCCATGCTACCCTGTTTTTTTATCAGCGCAGCCTGTTTGACCACATGAATGCATTTCTGTGAATTATGGGTATACGCCATGTGTCGTGTCAGAGGGTCTTTTTGGCAGTGTTCACAGTGCCAGACACTCACGCGGCAGTACGGTGCGGTGTGGTGATGGGAATCACACTTCTCACAGAAACGTGTGACGCCATACCCGCGGCCTTCTTTGATGGCGGTTTGGCCCGCGTTGTGGAGTTGCGCTTTGAGGTCTACGTAATGCAACTTATTGAGCGGGGCTTCGGTGGGAGGACAAAGCATGAGGAAAGCGGCGATCATGGTGCATACGATGTCGTTACCAGCGTTGTGAAGGTATGGTTCTTTGATGTCGTATTCGGAGAGGAGGTGTGCGAGGCGGATTTTGCGGGATGGGTTTACGAGGCCGTGTTCTACGGCCAGCACTTGTGTGTCGATTGTTGCGACGATAGTGCCGAGTTCCTCAAGGTCGAGACCAAAGCGCGATTTTATGACTTCGTAGTCATTCGAGACGGCGTGGCCGACGAAGATGATTGGACGTAGATTACCGTAGATGTCTCGGCGAGTGAAAACGCTGCGCAGCATTTCTTTCGCTTCTTTCACGCTGACAAAGGTTGTGCTGCCAAACTGGAAGGCATCCGGGTGCCCTTCGCAGAGGTCTTTGTTGGTGAGATGTGCGTGTGGTTTGATGCGCACGTGGTAGTTCTCCATGCTGGTGAGAATACCCCATGGTGATGAGGTAAATGGCTGTGGCACGGAACGCGGATTGAGAACAGATATTCCGAGTTCCGTGATGAAATGGTCATCGTGCTCGTACCACTCAGCATCAGAGGCCACGATAATAGCGTCTTGGAGTGCTGCGGCTGCAGCGGCACTGCCAAGCGGGATTTCGCTCCCACATCTCTGCATCCAATGCTGGAGGATAGCTGACTGCGTAAGACCTTGGTGTAATTCGGCTGCAATGAGAGATTTCAACTCTCTTGGTGAGACTGGATAAGACATGTCTGACAAAAGTGTATTGTGCGTGAAATCTGACCACCAAGTAGGTATTGAGGTTGGTGCGTAGGAGTATTCGGTGGTCGAAACGGAGGGAAGAGCAGGAAAGTCTTTCAAATAGGCTGAAACCTTCGTTGTGTAGTCATAGGCGAAATCTGAGTAGTGAATGGCGTTGTAGAGCTGATCCGCTTCGAACTCGGTTGAGGATTGAATCATGGTAAGAGTCATGATGTCTGAGTTTCAGTAGTTGCTGCAATAGTTTAATTGTAGAGTATGATTGGAAACAGGAAGTTAATTGTAGAGATGAGATGAGAGTGGGAAAGCAAGCGCAATGTATACATACTGGAACTGAAAACGTGATCTTGATGCCTGAAGGCGGCAGACTTTCGGTACCATGGTTGCACACTTTGACCACGGTTCTCGCAACGTATACCACCAATAAGGCATCTATACTTGTAAGCAGTACCGCGACGTTGCGACAATATTTCCAAACATTTCTTACACATTTGTTTGGCTAGTGGTGAGTGGGCGCCGAGTGAGGTGAGTAGCGTGGCACAGCCAATAGGCGCACCCCTGACTAAATGCTGCAGTAGGACTGACTGGAGGATAGAGCCATCCGATCAATGACTGTAACCTAGATAATTCCAGAACAAATATTAGAACACGTCGCAGCCATGGTACTATGCTGCTACCTGCGTGTGACTCTAAGAACGCGCTCTATCCCCAGGCCGGTCACGCTTCAAATGTATCTGAAGTAGAGGACATGGGCTCATGGACCGCGACTAACGGATGATGCAGCGGCTTCAAAGTTTCGACCTGTTCCCCAACATCGTGATGATCCCCAAGCCCAAAATGGACTTTAACCATTCGTGCCAACTTTGGCCGCATCAAAATTGGCGCGTTTTGTTGCAGCTTGCCTGACGTGAACTGAAGCGAAATACTGCCACGCCTGACAATTCCGAACCCTTTTAAAGCTACATCCTTAGAGAATAGCCATTCTAATAGAGACCTTGGATACCCTATCGTGTAGAAGTATCGGATGGTGTCTAGCTGCCCGCTCTCGAGCATGGAGCAAAACAAGGAGACGGCAGAGTCGTGAACGGTGGCCTCACTATACATCTTACACGGTATCTCAAGACCCACCGTTCGCAGATTCGGGTAGTGCCTTTCCAACAGTCTTACCAGCAATGCCCTTCTCGCTTCGCCGACGTCGTCGTCGCCAGGCCAACGTGATATTGAGAGGGGATTCCTCTCTCTCATCAGCTGGCTAGTGATGCTAAGACGACTAAGACTATTCTTCAAAACCTCCGGTAAGGTTTGCAGGAAGAAAATGGTATTTCATGTACAGTTTTCGAGAATGAGCTCGCTGCGAGACCAAAGGTACTGGAAAGCCTTGCCCGGGTTGACAATCCGATGATAGTATATACTGGAATGCGCAATTTCGGTGTAGTAATCGATCCACTCCTGTTCGTTGGCTTCGAGTATTCTCTTCGCCTCTATACGCAATCTTTTGGAAACCAGAAGCAAGGGTGTCGATATGGAGAAGATTTTATACGTCATCATAATCTCGGGGTAGGGATACTGGTCAATGACGGCTCCATTGGGATCGTTGCAAGAAACGTGGTAGAGTTCGTCTGGGGTTTCCTCTTTGTCCACTTCTGGAGGATGCAGCAGATCGAAGGTATGTAACCATGCTTCTAGTCCATGTCAGTTCTACTCTAGTGGCGATGGACGAGGCTCCATACGCGTGCTATTACCTGTGTCCGGCTCATTGTACCCCGAATCTTGGATTTCCACCTCATCTGAATTGGTGTGTCGAAAGACCGCCCTTGGCTCAAGCGAATAATCGTAGATCATATCGCGAATTTCTTGCGGAAGGTTGTGCAGGCGGAAGCTACACGTTGTCAGTCTGATAAAATGATGATTGAAATGGGCACTGACACATGCAAATGCGCGGCGGCATCATCACAATCCGACCGCAATTCTCCCGCCATCTCTCTGGTCATTGCTGTCGGTGCGTGTGAAAACGTTCGCGAAGATGGGGTGGCGAAGCGCTCGCGGACTGCCCAGGTGAGGGATTGGCACTAGCGCGACGCGCTAAGATAACCCCTGGAGTCGCTGGAGGTCTCCAAGGCTCGTCAAAGCTCGGACCTGCCTTCTCCAAGAGCCTCGTCGTAAGTCTTTTCACAAGTAACGTTGACTCCGTCACGCAGTGCTGACAGTCGCGCGGATGCATAAGCTTAAAGATACTGCATCTTTTTATACCAAATTCTTTTACCACTGCGTAAACTTACTTCAAGAAGGTCGTTCTACCAAACGCAAGGCTGTTGTCTGGGCAAGGTTTCGGGGCAGCGGGCACTTCATTTCAAACACATCCTGACGGTTTACGCCGTGGTTCAGATTAACGTCCTGCCTGTATCCTGACGACCAACAAGACGACCGGAAGCCTTGACAGGACACATCACGGCAGCAGTGGCTGCGACCTCGTGATCTTGACAACGCGGCATGCCCCTAAGTCGCGCCATAGTTGAGACGCCAGTGAGGTAGGGGATATAGGTTCCTCAACCCCAGTCAGTAATGACCGATCCTCCTCTTCTGTCCCTCTATAATTGCATCCCTCTAATGTTATGTGTCTAAAAAAGATGGAATCTGTCTCCCTACGTGCACATCCGTAGTTCTCGTAGTCTTTGTACCAGAATCTCACGGTGTCCAAACGCCCGTTCTTGAGCATCTCGCACAGATAGTCCGAAGCCCCGTTCCAATTCATTTCCATGACTTCGTCTATATCTGGTACCTCAATCGCCACCGTCCGTAAGTTGGGAAAATTATCCGAGATCCAGTTTGTAAATAAGGCCCCGCCTCTTGATTGCTCTTTGGTCCACCGCGAGTATGCAATAAGACTTAGGAAATCATAAGGGAGCACCAGCCGGCGTACGCAAGATTTCAGCGAGTCTGGAAGATCTCTCAGGAAGAATATGGACTTGCCGTACTCGTGCAGGAAGACGAACTCGCAGCTGGCCCATAGATCAATGAGAGCTGCGCTTGGTGATGCGATGCGGTGTAAATATATGGACGCCAACAGAAGTCTCTCATAGTATTTCTTGGTGGTGGTTAGTACCTTCGTAACTTCCTCATTGGTGGCTTTAGACACAGCGAGTAAAGGCGTCGCTATCAAGATCTTGAAGGCCAAGACGGCGGTGTTTCCATCATCACGCGGGCTACCCGCGATTGACAAGTTGGGATCCTGCAAGTACTTGTCTCCTTCTAAATCTTCTTCGAAGCTGTCGGATCGATCGTCAACATCTTGCATATCTTCTGTAATTGCGTCAACACCAGGAACGCCGATCTAGCATGTTTCATACCTGGATGCAGCTCGAGATTGGGCAAGTGGTACGTAGGGTATTGGTTGCACAAGCAACTGTGCCAAAGAATGACCCTCGGCTCTAGCGCATATTCGTAGATATAATTGCGAAGCTCTAGTGGAAGGTCTTGTAATCGGAAGCTAAGTGCTGTCAGTTTCAGTAACGCAGAAGTCAGACATTAAAAGTGCGTACACTTCCAGATGATCGGCAGCTTCGCCGCGAGAAGTTGGCAGTTCAGTAGTGGACATTTGAGGCTTTGCGGTCGTGGTTAAGGCTGTTCCATACCTGGGTGTGAATCGGAAGATAGTGGTGATTGCTGTGTAAATATGTAAGAGAGATCCGAGGGCTCTACTCAGGTGTTGAGGGACATTTTAGGTCGACGCGCTAGGACGCGTTTCAGAATGATGCGACAACTCCTCCGTGTGTCGCAACGATTACTGACACCGTTAGCGTTTTGGAGAGAACGAATCCCTCCCTTGTATGGTGATATTCTTACTCGAATAGTATGGCAGGTAGATGCAAAGGATTTGATTCGACTGAACATCAATGCCATGGTGTCGTGGAAACTGCGATGTGGGCGACTCAGTCGTCGTTGATTCATTTTGCATCAGGAGAAGGCAGCGAAGTAGTCTGTTGGTCTATGTGACATCGGGCTTCGGTATTGCACTCGCGAACACGATGATCGAAGAGCGCTCGCGGAAGGAGGGGGTCAGTCTGAGTCAAAGGCGCACTCTATTCTTTCGGAAGGAGGGGATAACACTAGCGCGACGCGCTGGGACGCGTCTCGCAAACGCTCGGACCTCTTCTAGTTTCCTCGCTCGAGCCTGGCGAGGCTCTTCACAAGTACCATCGACAAACACGCAGCCCCAAGAATTGCGCAAACTTGTGAAATTTACTTTTCTGCATTTTTTCCAATCTTTTACTGCTACTGCGAAATTTCACTTCATGACTGAGTACGCTAGGATTTAGACCAATGCCAGGGCTGTGTGCCGACGACCAGCAAGACGACAGGGAGTTTTGACAAGACACGTCGCAGCCGCAGTACTAAGCTGGCTTCCGCTCTTTTGTGATCTTCACAATGCGAAAGGCATGTAGTTCTCGCCATACCGCGGATCGAGCCGACGTACGAGAGATGGTCTCTTCCACCCCCTTTAGATAGAAGTCCACCTCACTGTAGTCATCAGGGTTGTTCCCCTCCATCGCCACGTTCCACAAGAAGAGTCTATCTGTCTGTACTGATATACGGTCACCTCTGTAATAGAACCACACAGTATCCAAGCGGCCCTCCCAAACCATATCGAGAACATATTCCGAAGGAGGAGTCCTGCCGACAAGCCACGAGTCGTAGTATGTCGGTATGATCTCGATCGCCATCTCACGTACGTTCGGGAAGTAATCCCGTATACTATTGGTAAACAAGGCATCCTCTTCAGGATTATTCGGCTCCCATACTGCGCGAGAATCCGAGCGGGGATGGGTAAGTGTAATAGATAAGGTGAGGTAGAGCCGACGAAGCGATTTCTTGAGCGAATCTGGAAGAAGTCTCAAGAAGAGGAGAGATGAGCCGGGTTGATGACCGAGGACTAGTTCACTGCGGGACCAGAGATCAAGGAAGGCGGGGCTAGGAGATTTGATGTGGTGTAGATGATGGATAGACTCTCGGATGGTCCGGGCCCAGGTTTTCTTCACGATTTCAATGACCCTTTTCACTTCCAAGTTCGTGAGTTTGGATACAGCGAGCCAAGGCGTCGCGATCAAGATTTTGAAGGATAGCATTCCGATTTGGCGATGAGTTACTCCTTCGATCTTTACGTTGGGATCGCTCCTAGCATCGTCATCAATCTCTTCGTCTGTCTCATCTGTGGAAAGGTCAATACTGGTACGGTTACATTGACAGTAAACATACTGGGTGGCAGATACAGTTCAGGTCGCTCGTAGCCGTTAACTTTAGGCCCGAATGAGTCATGGCGGAAGATTGCTTTGGGCTCGAAGGAGTACTCGTATATCTTATCACGAAGTTCTTGCGGAAGATCGCATAGAGGAAAGCTTGCAGCGTCAGCGCAGATGGTACAGCAATTAAGGCTGAGAGGTCTTACGTCTCTGAAAGCATGGCAGCTTCGTCACGTGTGGCATGCGATAGACCTGTCGCCATCTTGAATTACACAATTAGCCTCTAGGGTAAAGTCGTTGGATATGGTGCGTATATAATGAGTTGACAAGACTTGGTATTGTGACGCTCAAGCATGCGAGAAGGTTCTATTGTTCCGTGAACACAACCACAGTCATGCTCGATCGCGAGACCCTGGCTTTAGCGTGAGACGCTAGCGCGGGTTCCCTGGGCACTCGGACCGATAGTCATAAGCACAGCTTGATCACTACCGCAGAGAGAACACTCAATCCATGTGGACTGCGATCTTTTCTTTGTACCACCGTAACTGCATGAGACTTGATTTGAAGTGAATGTTTGGCATTAAAGTAAGTAAACTAGCCATGACCAGTAGCCGACGCATCCAGCGAGCGGCACATAACACATAACTAGCGTCCTAAGCGCGGCAACCAATAGGTTTGAGGGGTATATCGTTCAACGGTGATTCGATAAGCGAATCACAACATCATGCATCAACACATCGCGATGTAAACCGCTTACATCTTCTCCTGAGCGACAAGGCTAGCGCGCCTCTCCTCGTTGACGCTCTGGCGCCTCTCGATGTCAGCAGCCTGAGCCTCCGTGCCGAGGTGACCGGTGGGCAGCAGGTTGAGCTGGTCTTCGTTCTTGTCCATGTTACGGTAGGCGAAGTGGAAGGCGATACCGGTGACGAAGGAGATGATGGCTACACTTCCGTAGTTCCAGACGATATGGGGATCGGCGGTAAGAGGAGTGAAAGCCTGGGCGAGGGCGGCAGAGAATGCGGTGGTGAAGAGTTGGACGGACTGAACGAGCGACCTCATGTTCTTGGGAGCCTTGGTGAAGGCGTACTCGAGAGTGGTGACAGAGGCGAAGATCTCGGAGATGGCAATGAGGACGTAGACACCGGTAACAGCCCAGACAGTGATGTCGGTCTTGTAGTCTGCGTTTTTGTTCTCGTAGTAGCCGGAGGTCTTGTAGATGTAGTGTTGGAGAACCGCAGCCCAGACCATGGCGAAGGCTCCAAGGATGAAACCAGCGGTGATCTTCTTGATCGGAGTGAAGCGGATACCTCGCTTGCGGAGGAAGGGATAGATGAGAGAGTCCATGATAGGCACCTATAGCACGATTAGCATTCAATCTGGACGTTGGACCATTGGACAGTACTTACGATGATGATGATAGCGATGGGGTCCAAGTTGGAGAGAATGTCGTTGGGGACGCCGCCGAGCTTCATGGTGGCGCACATCTGGGTCAGGTTGGAGTCCATCTGGCGGTATGCAAGCCAGAAGATAGGCACCCAGAAGAAGACGGAGCAGGCAGCGAAACCACGAGCAACCTCATCAACCCAGGCGTCATCAAAGTTGTACCACTTGGGTGCGGCGGAGCCAAGGACGGAAGGCTTGACAGCGGTCCACATGTTGCCGTCATTCCAGTTTTTCCAGGTCTTGACGGGGTTGACGCTCATTCCGCGTCCAAGAGCCTTGAAGAGAAGCTTGAAAGCAGGGCCCATAACGTTGCCGCTCGGGGGACGGAGGATGTAGAACTTCTTGCAGAAGATCAAGACGGGGAGAGCGATGATGAACATGACGGTGGGGATCAGGTACGCGAGCCAGAAACCGACGTATCGCTCAGCGTAAACCATGCTGATTTGACCGACCAGAGCACCGATGTTGATGAAGAAGTAGAACCAGTTGTAGATACGGGTGACCGTGACAGCGGGGTCGACAATGACGCGCTCAGTACCGCGTGTCTCAACGCGCATCTTCTCCTGAGGAACTTGTTCGGCAATAAGAGGGGCAATGTTGGGCTTGAAAGTTCCAGTTCCAAGACCCATGATGATGAGACCGAGGATAAAAACGCCGAGAGCAGTGTTGGAGTTCTCCAAGACAGATGGCGCAGCTGAGGCGACGAGGATCAAGTGACCGATTTCAGCGACCAAGACGGAGTACAGAATAGTCTTGAAACGACCAAGGTAGGTGTCGGCGATCCAGGCTCCGAGGAGCGGGCAGACGTAGACCCAGAAGGCGTTGAATGTAGTCAAACTGAAAGCGACCTGCTTGCCCATGTTGAGGGCACCGGGTTGAGCCTCAGCATCATCCGGGTCGGTGGCGGCTCCAGTGGGAGTAGTGAGCGGCTTAGCGATGTAGTTGGAGTATACAGCAACGGTTCCGTAGTAACTCATACGCTCGACAAGCTCAACGAAAGCGATCTGGAGATAAGTCAGTATTTGTCTCACGTGCTCTGTGAGTGCGATCACATACGGTGAAGATCTTCCACGGAATTCTAGCGGGCACACGACGAAGCGTGGCGAGCTCCTCGTCAGTGGGAAAGTCATCAGCCTCGTTGAGGTAGCTGTCCTGGAGCGTGGCCTTGCCCTCGGAGTGGAGGTAGGCGGGCGCAGAGGTTGTGTGCATCTCGGGGTGCTTGCGCGTGGGGTCGCCAGAAGCGTCAATAAGAGCGGGGTCCAAGCCAACAGCTTGCTGCAAGGGTTGTTAGCAAGCATGCAATGGAGCTTGAAAAGAGTATACTCACGACTTCACCGGCGTCACCAACAGGCATGATGGGCGTGCACCTAGGTCGTTTGACAATGAAGGTGGACCGTGGTTGAGTGACTGAGAAAGCAGCCAGGTGATTGTTTATGGGGTGCGGCGAGGAGAAGAGAGACCCTGACGAGCAAAGAGAATGGGGTGGTGGTGCATTTAATTTGAGCACGCGAATCACGGGTCCGACGTCGTGCTCTACAGCTTCAGGCCCGATAAGGAAGGCGCGCACACCGACACAGGGATAGGCACCGTATCGACTCCTTCACCACCGTCTGTCCATCAGCAAACGCATTGCCACCGCGGCTGTTGTGCCCGGAAAGGCATTCGGCGCGTGCGCGATAGGTGCTGCACGATGCTCTTTTCGCACCGCATCGCCGAGGCGTCCTGGGCTACTCAAGCCTCGCCAAGTTGCTAACCACCACTGGCAAGCAGCGAGACAAGAAGAGCTTGCTGGTTCCAAGATAACAATTACCTGTGGCGCCCCAGTCGCATGCCATCGACTAACCTCCTGCCTAAAGCAGGTGGTCGCGGGGTAGCGATAGTCGTCCCCAAGAAATGCCCAGAGCCACTAGCTCGCGCCTCCAACGACTCTGGTCTTGGAGGCCCAGCCCATGGCCCATGCATTCTTCCATCGCGGTATCAGCGACCTTGCTCTTTTTGACCGCAAACACGGTTATCTGCGGGTGATAGCGTTGGTGTAGCGTCGATACAAACGTTCTGGAAGACGACCGCAGCGATTGATTCGGACAAGACATCGAGGAGGCTGGCGGGATGCAGGCCAGACGTTCCCACCAACAACCACGCTGTGGGGCCGCCTGCAGATAGACAAGATAATGGCTCGAAGCTTGGGATACGGACAACGGCTTAGCCAATCGCGCCATACAGCCAAGACTTCCTCCGAACGCTACCATTCGCTCCTCCGAGGGCCATCCTGCCAGGGCTATCGTCGAGGCGGGTCTCCCGAATGTTCTCTGCGTTGCCCAAGACCTGGGCAACGGACCCCGATCGTATTTGCGGCCACGGTAATTGCACGCTCAGGGGACGGACATGCGACATGCGACATGCGACACCACGACACCGGGTACCGGCATCAAGAATTTCGAGCGACGAGACAAGCCTCGGCCAGCGGATATGAAGACGCCGTGGCAGCGGTTGAGGCTTCCTGCCCAGACGCGGTATGCAAGGGCTTATTCACGCCACCCTTTGAGATACGGGCTCAGTGGTGTGCGGTAATCATACGGCGCGATGGAGTGGTGTCGCGCCTATCCTCGACGGACCTGGTCAGATGCGCGGTCCTTTTTCGCAAATAGAGCGTATCGATGGTGATGAGGTAGATAGGGTAAAAGACGGGGATTGGGGGAACTCAGGATCGACACGTCGCCTAAATTAAGCTTGATGAAGACCTCGGCCGGCAAGCGCGATGCCGCACGTGAGCAGGTACTCTACCGTTACGGTTCCGGCTTTATTGGAACGCCTCGCCACGCCAGAACCACGGACAAGCGTCTGCGGTGTTGGCAGTTGGTTCCAAGCTTTTTGCCGTCGCTTCTATGACGCGACGCTGAGCTTGTTGATTTTGCAGACCATTCCATCATGAGCATGCAGCACTCGCATGCTATCGCCAGGGCTCTCTACATCTATCAAAAAGCAGGCTTAGCCGAGACATAGTCAGCACCGTATACTGACTTCAGGGCTGCCTTGGTACAAAACGGCTAAAGCCTACTAGGAGGACACGAGGAATAGTGCATGGTCCGTTTATCGACTACGCTGGTACTCTCCATGTGCTCGGTACCACGCGCATGTCAGAGCGCTGAGTCTAGCCAAGGCCACGGTGAGGTAACAGAAAGGTTCGCACCTTCCCAACGCTGAGGTAGTAGCTACGGCTGGATCCCGCCCCGTCTGACCCCGCCGCCTGTCGCTTCCCCATCCGTTCTCAAACTCGACAATCTCCACCACCAGCGCCGGATATTCGTATACGTGTGTTGCAGCACATGGCACGCCTAATGACAATTCTTAATTCCCACGTAACGCCAAGTAGATGATCAGTCATCGGGATTCCTTGACTCCATCCTCTACTGGCAGCAAGAGCGGCCTGAGCTACCTGCAATGTCTCACGGCAGAGATCATTGGCTCACTTGAATGCATACACCAATCGCTTCGACTGTCATCACGCCAGGAACCAGTACAGGTACGACTATCACGCGCAGACTGTACCGGGTGGTGCAAGTATGCGTGAGATCCTTAGCACCAATATAACTGACTTCCTTTGGTACAATTTGCTGACATACGAGTCACACGAGTACCTGCACTGCGCAGTGTCGAAGAACGTATACTGCACATGTTGCATGGAGTTTACCGATTGGATCCTTTTGAATCTCTAACACGCAGTACACTCCGCTTCTTATCTTCCACTAGCACAGAGGTTGAGGATTGCGATCTCTCTCATTTGATGACGAGTACCTTTGCGTATGCGGTTGCTCCCACTAGCACCTTTCCACATCTTTAGATTCCACACCCTCAAAACACCCTCCCATTCTCCTGCAGCGCCCTCACCCTCTCGGGCGTAACAACACTCAAACTAATCGCCCCACCAATAACAATCCCCAACAACAAAACCACAAACAACCACAACACCTCCACCCTCCCATCCCCATCCCTCCTGCCCCTCCCCCCAGGCGCATACGGCCCCACCATCTTCTTCAACGGCTGCACCCCATTCCTCTGCGCAAAATCATACCCCCTCCTCATCCCAGGTAACCCATCAATGCTCAATTGACTCTTCCACGCCCAGTAGTAGTCCATCGATTCTTTCTCGTCGCCAGCTTGGTATTTGGCGTCTTTCTTTCTGAAGTGTTCGTTCAGAATGTCGCGGTGGCTAACAAAGTCGTAGTAGGGGACGCTGAAGCCGCAGGATGTGCCGCATTGGTGCACATCTACCATGATGATGCTGCGGGAACCGGGTATGGTTTCGACCTTATGTTCTCGTATGAAGCTTTCGTATTCTGGGGTTCCGTTCTCGATGGCGCGGCCTTCGCCCCAGATACGCACGATTTTTGGGGGACCGGTAAAGGCCATGAACATGACGCAAATACGACCATTGCCTGGCTCGTGAAGATGCGCATGTGTTTCTACTCCGCTACCGGTAAGATCCATGTACCAAAACGTTCGTTCATTCAGGACGCCAAAGTTCTGACCTCCTTTCGGTGAGATGTTGATGTGGCCGTCGCCTGAGAGGGGCGCGGTGCCTACCCAGAGCATTTGCTGTTCTTTGATCCATGGGATGAGGCTGTTCGGTATGGTTTCGTAGAAGACGCCCATCTTGGTGGCGAGACGGGATGGGTGTGTCGGTTTGGAGGGTTGGAGGTTGGTGGGATGGAGAGTTATTCGAATTTGGGATTGGGGGCGTATTAGAATAGCGGATAGGTGTCGTTGCCGTCGATGGTGGAATGAAGTGTCCAACAACCGAGGAACCAGCAACCCTCAGATTAAACAAGCAGGAGCTTCCACGAACGATCCTCTAGCAAAGCCGTGAGACCAGGACTTAAATCTCACTTCCCTATGATTCACAATTTCGCCAGTTCAACAGTAACCACCGGTGATCAATCCGCGGCCGGTATCGGTGCTGATCCCACGTCAAAGCTGTTCTTTACGCAGACAAGCCTCCTCGTGTTCGCTGTGACTCGATGATCACAGTTTCTACTCCGCATGCATGTACTCACAGAATGGTGATGTATGAAGATGCAAGTATCCGAAGGGTTCGGCTAGTGGGTAGCTGCAGCGGGGTATGCGATTGGGGTAAGCCGAGGGTCTTGGAGCTCTGACGTGTTGTGATTGGTTCTGTGGGATGTACAGTCTGATAAGGTTTGTATTGCAGAGAGTACTTGGAAGTGCAAAAAAATGATTTATAGGGTGCCTACGCAGTATGGCGCTACAAATATGCGGCCATGGTATACCATACTCCAGAGTATATATGCTTACATGAGGCACCTGACGCCACCCTTCCAAACTCGAACCTGTTCCTTGCTCTCTAAACAAACATTTCGATCAGAGCCATCATTTCTTCGGCAGCTCCCGGAACACCTCCTTGAAGATCTTCTTGCTATTATACAGATTGACCAACCTCAGGCGCTCGTTGTCCAAATGCGCACTGTCACTTGCTTGGCCGCACGGCAGATGCGCAGCAGGTGCATTGAACTCCTTCTCCAAGAATCTTATACTGGGGATAGAGCCACCTTCCCGGATGTACAGAGGCTTACGAGACGCTGCTTCGCTTCGAGTGTGGTCCGAGGTCGAGTTGCCAGATGATGGGACAGGTCCTGCGAGAGCCGGGTCGGATGAGTTGGCCAGGGTATTTGATGTTGCTGGTGCAGGCTTGTCTTTGGTAGTAGGCGTTGAAGGCTCGGCCGCTGCTCGTGATAATGGCGAGAAGTAGTCGGGCGGCTGGACTATAGACATGCTTTCCCTTCGCTGTCCAAGCGTTGGACCCCATACTGACATGATGGCGCGCTCAAGCGTCTGGAAGATCTCGTTGTTGAAATCACCAAGCCACGGCTCGGCTTGGTGGTCGATTGTTACCTTGAGCTGGTTCTTTGAGTCAAGATCTTCGAACTCAGATTGCATGAAGGACTTGAGACTTTCTGCTACGTCGCCAGCTTCTTGATTCGGCACCAGCCGTATCGATAAGGCAGCCTTAGCAAGACGTGGGATGATAGTTGAGTTATCAGGACCGGAGGTCTGGAAGCGATGGATGGTGAGTGAAGCCTCTCGCCATCTGCGCATCAATGACTGTGCTAGCTCTCCTGCATCGCCAAGATCTGGGTTACCACGTAAAAGTGTTTCAGTAATCTCGGTATAGAGTCCCTCTTCATCCTCTGTCAAAGGTAGGATAGGGTCGTAGAAACCTGGGATCTGAACCTTGCCGTGTCGTGCGGTCAATCGGGATAGCAGCATGACAAGATCTTTGAGCGGTTCGTCTAGCAAAGCACTTCCATCTACACCACTGTGCAAGTCAGGATGCTTACTCTCAATCTGCACAGTAGCATGTATGACTCCTCGGAGTCCGTAAGTCAGGCAGGGCACATGGTCGTCGAGCCAATAGCTGTTGGCCAGGAGGATCCAGTCAACATCACCAATGAGATCTTTCCTGGCTTGCACAGCTCTTTCAAAACCGCGAGAGCCACTCTCCTCTTCACCTTCGATGAGGAAGATGATGTCGGAATCCAGGCGCTGTTCATTTGCAAGCTCATGAGCTGCGTAGATGGCAGCCATAATCGGGCCTTTGTTGTCAGACGTCCCGCGACCATATAAATAGCCTCCCTCTCCTGTCAGCTCGAAGGGATGGTGTTTCCACTTGCGGTGTTCGTTTTCTGCAGGGATAACATCGTAGTGCCCGTAGAACAGAATTTTCTTACGTGAGGCCGCTGTAGCCGGGTTGCCGCGGAATTTTGCAAACACAATTGGGTTGTACTCGCTTGTGTTGATCATCTCGGTAACAGCGCCAAAATTCTGGAAGACGGAACGCAAGTAAGACGCCCCTCTACGACAGTCAGCGCGATATTTGGGCAGCGACGATACGGTCCGAAAAGACACGAACTGTCTCAATGACTCCACCATGAGATCTGCACAACGCATTAGTTGAGCAAATCAAAGTTTCGGATGTGTACAGACCGTTGTTGCTTCTGCGTGAGACGGCGTTGGGCTCCGCACAATCTCTGACTTCCCAGATAACCACAGTATTGTCATTGCCGCCGGTAACGAGGGTTGGCTTATCGTTGTATCTGGTAAACGCGGAAGCGAGAATTAGGCCGTCGTGTGCCTTGAAAGTCGTGATGGTTTCGTAATGCTCGTTGAATTTCTATCTATGTTAGTCATGGTTCTTACAAAGCAGTAAAGGAGACTCACCTGCATTACACCAGTTTTCCCACCGGCGTACAGAACGCCGGCACCCAATGTTAGGGTATGAACATCACCGGTAGTCGCTTTCAGACTTCGCACTAGTTGTCGGGTTTCAAGATCCCACACGTTGACCTCACCGTCGAAGCGCCCACTGTACAGGAAAGAGCCCTCCCTGGCGAGTGAAAGTATGGATTCACCTTCCTCTCTTCCATCTTCCAATGTGTAGAGGCTTGTGATGGCACCACGCTGTGCGGGGTCTATGCGCCACAGCAAGATACGCCCATCTCCTCCTCCCGAGACCAGAATCTCCTCGGATGGCGCCTCCGGTATGATCCCGCTGCCCAGGAGCATGCAATGTACGTATCCGTAGTGGGCGAATTGGCAGATGTCATGGCTGTCGATTTGCAGTTCTTGCCCGCCTACTGCGTCGCGTGGTCTCGTATCTGCCCCGCTGGGCTTCGGGGTTTGCGCGCCGCCCGGTCCTAGGGAGTCGAAGAATTTGTTCTTTCGCTCTGCAGGATGCGATGACAGACTCGGGGCCGGTCTAGTGTCTTTCTCTTTCAAATCGTACCACTGCGACTGTCAGCCTATGCATTCCTGTTCAGCCTTATTTCCTACTTGTATGCTTGTGTTCTGGGCTCCGAGGTAGACGGTACGATGTTGGGAGGAGTATGCGACGCAGAAGATGTCTCCGATATCGTATGGCGACCAGAGCGCGTAGAGGTGTCTGAAGGTCGACGTGCACCAGACCTAACAACTCAGCATACACCTACGATGGACGTTCCAGACTCTCTCACATTGACGATCGGATCTGCTGCGCTCGAGAACAGCCACTTGCGGTCATGCGACAGACACAAGCCGAGTACGCTGCCCTTGTGCGCGTGTATGACGCTGCGTCGCTCGTAGGTATCGAGGCTGAACACCTGCACGTCATAAGCCTCGCGCCTCTGGAGCTCGCTTAAACACGTACTAGGATCTCCCCGCCCTGTGTTCCAGCGAAGATGTACTGTGATGACACTGCTAACGCGAGGATCGATTTGTCGTGCTTCATCCGATGCGCCAGGGCTGGCGTTCGATTGCCATCTGGGCCAGACTTCTCTGCGCCCTGCGTCTCTAGGATGCCGTCATTATGCGGAGGCGCTGCTGCTGGCATGGTCAGCCCGGCTTGGTGTTGTATCTCTGGAGTGAGTGCATGGTCGCGTGTAAAGGTTTCGCGACTTGGTGGGAGCGATGACGGCACATTCAGGGTCCAGGGCCAAAAGCGCCGGCTGCGGGGCCCTGATGCATCACCGATGGACGCAGCAACTCGACTAGACGTACCTCTTAGTCCTACACCTAGAGCTGTCTTCACTTCCTGCGATGTAAGCGACGCTGACAAGATGCACATGGTCCGTCTTTCTGCTGAGCTACAGCCTGCGAGGAGATGGAACGGAAAGATGGCAGAAGAAGAAAGTCCCGCGCTGTGCGATAGCGGTGCCTCCCTTACCGTGCTCGAAAGAGGCAGCCGTTGATCGGCTTCATCTACCTCGTTCAGCGTAATATCTGAGGACGTCTCGTCGTCGCTAGGTGACCTCTCAGGGGAGCTCGAGCTTTGCTGCTCGCACTGAGTAACGAGCTCACCGCTCCTACATGGCGAGCGATCTCGCTGCAATGACGCCATATCTCAAGGTGGGAGTGTGCTTCACAGTAAGCTGAGATCATGGAATAGCATCACTGCTTCCTTTTTCTCGATGGCCATATCAGCATATCAGCGTATCTCACAGCAAGCGCAGAGTGGTGCCAACATATGTGCACCAGCGTGCAGTCAGGTATGCACGTGTCGTACAACTTGGCGGCGCGCTGTCAATCATGCAGTCGCTCCCTAGTCTGCGAGCTCTAAATAATAGATAGTTCACCGTTCGCAGGCCCGAATACGTGGTCGCAGCGTAGAGAGCGGCTTCCGACGTTGAGCTACCAATTGTAAATGACGCGGTTGGTGTGGCCCGCCTCGAGTCACTCCAGCTGCTAAGGAGACTTAGGACAGCCTCACGGGAACATGCATATCAGGGCGCGGGAGGCTGGAGGCTGCCGCATGCAGGTCGAAGAGATAGAGTGAAGATCGTCGGTGTGCATTCTGGAACACTCTGCCGCCAAGTTTGAGGATTGCGAAGCGCGGCCGAAGATTGGATAGGATGGGAAATCGGCGAGCAGAGATGCCTGTGTAGAGTGTAAATGGGACCAGTAGCCTTGATCGACTGCGGGTAATGAATCGTCGATAATGCCTCACCAGCACCACCGGGGAGTGCCTTCCTGTCTGCGTTGAAAACGTGGGAAAAGTGGGTTGAGAAAAAGGAGCGTGGGACCCCAACCAAACTACAGCCACACTGCTGGCGATGACCAAGACTGTCAAACCTCCGACAGCCTCGATATGACGCAGCTTGCGT